CATCACCTGATGCATTTTTGGCATATTGGGCAGGATTAAATGGTTGAAGGGGTGCATGCAGGGTTCCATCACTTTACCCATGAATTCTGGGCCAGGAGGGCTGGGAAGTGATCCATTGGCTTTTAAAAGCCAGGAGGGATCTGAGCAGCTGCAAGCCAAGACTGTCTGGGAAATGTCAGTGCTCGATTGCTCCCTGATTTTGTAAAAATTGAGATAATATAATGCCTGTCTGACATCCCCAGGCATGGAATGGGCCGATGGAAACTGGTACAGCCCTGAGGCTGTGGTTAAATGGATAAATGTGATGTTAAGTGAACAAAAGGTACGAAAGGAGAAGGGTAAAGCAGATTTATGTGCAATTTTGGGAGTAGCTTTAACAGCTGCCCAAAAGGAAAGGTATGCCACCAAAGGGGCAGAGGAAGAAATGACAGGATCTCTGCAGGATTTGGCGGAAGGACTGCAGGATCACGCAGATGAGGAGAGGGAAAGCAGGCTTCGGGAGATAATGTTGCTTGATGCGGAGTGTGACTGTGAAAGGGGGGAGCAGGCTGCAGGTGCTTCACGTGCTTCTCGTGGAGGTGTTCCTTGCCAAGCTCGGGGAGGAAATGAGACTTCAGGCAGAGGTGTTTCTTGCTGCTGAGCATGAGAAGAGGGTGAAGGCACAGGGGCTGCTTGCTGCTCAGTGAAAGGGAGAGTGGGTGTCAGGCTGGGGCGTTGCTGGCTGAGCGAGACAGGGAGAAGGAAAAGTGGCTGCAGGGGGAGGCATCGCTCGCTGCCCAGTGCAGTCTGGGAGGCTTCAGGCAGAGTTTCTGAGTTATGTCAGGCAGATATAACTCAACAATTCAGTAGTTCTGTGACCCTGGGATAAGGAAAGCAGAGAGACCAAGGATTGACAAGAGGCTGTAAGGATTGCCCCACAAATACATCCCAGCCAACAGAGGCAATAACAGCACCAAAGGACATACATACGGACAAAGGTGGGAAGAACAAATACAGTGAAATGTAGGAGGAGCAGCCCAGCTGTCCTGAGGTGTGTAAACAAATTAAGCATGGAGAAGGAAGAAAATAATTACATCTTATCAGTAGGCTTCTTAATCCCCAGCTTAAACAGAGTGTGTTTATGTAAATTTGCTAGCAGGATTTGTTTGCTTGCTTTTGCAACCTCCCCCTTGGGAGCATGAGCTGAGCTATGAGATAGGCAGGCTCAGGTATCAGATATAGAGGAAGCTTTGACCAGTCAGAGATAAATTTCTGTGATAAACCGCTTGGATAACTTCATTCTCTGCTCTGCTTCTGAAACCTTTTCTGCAGATTTATGGCTAAATGATTTTGTGACATGTATTCAATGTATTCAGTGTATTCAATAGAATCAGTGTATTCAATGTGTCAATAAAAAGGTCAATGTGTGCCAGATCATATAGTACCTCAGTAGTTCACAATAAAAATTCTTTACTCCAGTGCCGGTCATCTCGTATATAAACCACAAGTTGCCTCGTGCTGAAATTTCAATCCCCTAGTGATGTCACAGTACCCAGAGCATCCTTGCAGCAGGAGGGGTGTCCAAATCCAATCTAAAGATGCCATAGCATGTCCTAAAGTGTCCCCATCAGACTGCAGTTACTTCTCCAAGGAATGGGCATGAACAAAGTGGATCAGGCTGCAAACAGCTCATACAAGCTGTGTCACTTCCAGAGGTACCAGCCTGAGCCTGAACTTCTCAGCTCAGCAGCTGTTGTTCATCATCCTACAGGGTCTCATTCCTCACTCTGGACCAGCCTCTTTGGGGCTGCACTGAAACAGTGGGTGGGGTTGAGGTGCAGAGTCAGGCAGCAACATGCAGGTGTCTCCAGATATAGTGAGTGTCTGATCCCAACCACCAGAGATCCAGGCCTGGCTCAGCTCCATAAACAGATGTACCCTGGGCCTTGAGGTGCCCTGAGGTGTGTGAGAGCCCTGGTGGGGCTGATGTGCTGCAGAATCCTGGGGAACACCAAACCCATCTGGGCCATCAGCCAGAGGCCAGGCAGGTTCCCCAGGGGCTCTGGACACCTGAGCACAGGGAACCAGATCCCAGCACAGACACTGGGCAGTGCCCAGTAGCACCAGGGACTTGTGCTCCTGTTGTCTCCATTGCCAGGGTGAGAGCAGCAGTAGCACTCACTTGTGCCAGCTGGAGAGCTTAGAGAGGTAAGAGAATATTTTGCTGTTTAGGGGGACAAAGTAGGACCATCACTCACACACCCCTTTGTTGGACAGCCCCTGTGCCCCAGGTCCCTGCCTCCATGGGTTTTTTCTCCTGGGATCAAATGCTGACACAGCCCACTCATGGTGCTAGTTCAGGCTGAGGGACCTCTGCAGACACCTCTGCTGTACCTCATGGGGCTCCCTCTGTCTCACTCCCTCACCTCTTCATGCCTGCTGAGTCTTGAAACCACACTCATCCTTGTCACTGCTCATCCCATGCCCCACTGCCCTTGCTTTCCAGGCTCTGGAACCACTGGCTGTTTGGCCATTCTTAAGGGGAGAAAATTGTCTCCATCAAACGTTCTTTCTGGGCTGATTGGGATCCTGTTTGAACACAGAGTCAGCAGCTGTACAGTGGCAGATACTGAAATGTGCCCTTGGATCTATGGAACGAATCATGGGACTGGTTTGTGTTGAAAGCGACCTGAAAGATCATCCCAATCCAAGCCCTATTCCATGGGCAAGGACACCTTTCACTAGACCTCTTTGCTCACAGTCCCATCCACCCTGGCCCTGAACACTTCCAGGGATGGGGTATCCATAGCTTCTCTGGGAAACCCATTCTAATGCCTCAGCACCACGACAATGGAGATTTTATTCCTAATATCTAATCTAACTCTGCCATCTGTCAGACTAAAGCCATTCCCTGTTGTCCTGTCCCTCCATGCCCATGTTAAAAGTTCCTTTCTACCTCTCTTGTAAAATCTTCATATACTGAAAGGAGCTACCCTAAGGTCTCTGCAGAGCATTCTCTTTCCCAGGCTGGTGGCATGAATAAGGGCTCTTACAAAGCCTTGGAAATCCATCAAGGAAAAATATGTAGCCTGACCGTATTAATTATATTCTGTGAGGCTGCAGAAGAGCAGATTGTGAACATCTGAGTGTACTCAGAGACAGGCCAGTTGGTCTAATGCCACCAGGGATGTTCTGCTGGGAACAGAAATGTGTGCAGGTGCTGAAACAGCAGCGGCCACAGCCCATGGGGAATGAGGAAATGGACAGGGAAGTCAACAGACACAGTTAACTGCTCCTGACCTGGGACTCTGCAAGTCAGCAAATTTGGGAGAAATTCTGAGGAAACTACAAATAGTAACTGTCACCCTGCTTTTGGGCAGGCATGAACAAATCTCCCTTGAATAAAAGCGGAAAACTTCTCTTTTCTGTGAAATTTCCTGTTTATCAAAAGGGACAGATTTACAAACTGAATTTTGCAGCTCTGTAACTTCTTGTGTAAAGCACAGCAAGGACAGAAGGAACAATGTAGGAGAGAAATTCAAGTCAAGTCACCTGGAAAATTCACAGCAAACTGTTGAATAAGAAGGCAGGGGAAGGTTACTGAGTACCAAAAACGCATCCGTGACTTTTCAAAAGACCTCTGGAAAAACACAGGTGCTGGCTGCACTCCTGGAGAAACTTACTCTAAACCCTGTTTTGGGAAATCTTACAACTCTCACTGACTCCAGGCCATGATCTGCTCATGACCAGGTTCAGTGTCCCTCTGCATTTGCCTTCCAGGAGAAGCAAGAGCCCTTCACCTGAAATCCTCCTGCCATGCTGTGGCTGCTGCTGCTGCAGGTCTGGGCGAGCTGCCTCTGGCTGGGACAGGGCGAGGTGGTGCCATCCTATGAAAGGTCATGTCCTCACTTTTCCTACAAGAACACCCTAGCAACAAAGGGCCTGGAGCCCCAGAAGCCAGCCTGGATCTGCCAGACCTTAAACAACCAAACTTTCTTTGCCACCTTGTATGACAGAAACAGGCACAATCCCGTGTACTCGGATTACACCTACCGGCCTGGCCCCAGGTGAGTGTCCTCCCTTACAACATGGCACCCTCCAGTCATTAAAAGATGAACTGCAGCAATTAACCAAACAGCTCTATTTCCTCCTACTCCACTACAAACACCTGCAAATGGACCCACTGGGTGGGATTCATCTCATCTTACTTCAGAAACCTGCAACACATGGATCCTCTGATGCATTTCAAACATCAGCAGGAGGAGAAGTCCTATCCCAAAGGTGCCCAGTTTTCTGCAATGACCTGAGAGCAACATCAAGTCAAATTATGTTCCATTCCATTCCATTATAAAGTTGAATGACCTCCCTCTCTGTGCCCTGCTATGCTGGGAGACCCAGTGATGGGGAAAAGGCATCCAACAGCAGCTAAATTTGGAGGAGCAACAGTCCTGCTGGGCTGGGATCTCCACTTTGCCCTGAGCTGTTTTGCATCCCTGACAGAGCTTAATTGCTCCCAGTTAAGAGTCAAAGAGTCTTTGTAAGTGATATGAGAGAAGTGAGGAGAAACTCAGAACTGGGTGGGATGATCCAGGGAAAAAGCCTCAGCACAGGCATTCAGTGATGAGAGGCTTTCGTAAACACTGAGGAATTTATTGAGGGATATTTCAGGCAGTGAAAAGTGAGGAGCATCAGTGTCAGTCCAGTCAGAAGGGGGTGATCTCCAGCCACAGGCAGCTGCCTCTGAGCCTCAGGCTTGATTCAGAGGGATCCATCACCAATACAGACCTGCACAAACAATAGAGCACTCCCAAATGTCCTTTAGATGCAGTTAACTGCTCCAGAGATGTGCAAGTCAGCAAATTTTGGAGAAATTCAGAGGAAACTACAAATAGCAGCTGTTACACCATGGAAGGCATAAACAAATCTCCCTTGAATAAAAATAGAAAACTTCACTTTTCTGTGGAATTCCCTATTTATCAAAAGGGGCAGATGTACAACCGGGTATATATTGCAGTGGGACTCCTGAAGGATCAGCCAACTGTTTCTCCAGGGAGAAGAGGCAAGGAGCGGCTCAGCTGCCTTTTCTGACACTCTGCTTCAAGGTAAGCTCTTGCTCCTTCCTCAACACTGACTCCAGTATTTCAAGTGTTTCCTTAGCTTTGGAAGAAATAGATCAGACAAAGCGTAGGCTGGAGTTGCTGAGCTCCAACATCTGCCTCCCATGGAGAAATGAGAGTTTATGCATGCACTGAATTGTGCAGCTCTTTAACTTTTTGTATTAAGAAGGACAAGGACAGAAGGATTGATTTGGGAGAAAAATTCTAGCCAAGTCCCCTGGAAAATTCACACCATGGTGTTGAATAAGAATCAGAGGGGAGGTGTGGTGCAGAGCTTATCGAGTACCTAAATTTCACCCATGAGATTGCAGAAAAAACCTCTGGACAAACACAGGTGCTGGCTGCACTCCTGGGCAAACTTAATCTGAAACATTTCTGGGAAATCTTACAACTCATCCCCTTCCTGGGGATCCTATATAAACAGCCAGTCTCAGACTGCAGAAGAGGATTTCAAAGTCCTCGGCCACTCTGGGGCTGTGAGCAGAGTGCTGAGCCAATCTTTCCCACGGTAAGTTGTTTTCTATATGTGTGATATTGAGTAAGTGAGATCTATTTTAAGCTCATGGAGGGGATGATGTAAAAGGACGTTTCAGGAACTTCTCTGCTTGATTTGGGGCAGAGACACAGTCCTGCTCTACAAAGCACTATAAAAAGCAAGAGCTTGTGGCTCATATTCTGAGTTTCCTCCTCACTGGTCCCCATGTTCCTGATCCAGGGCTGGTAAAGAGAAAAAGGACCAGATGTCTTGGGTAAGAGCAAGGGTGTGTGTAGGTCTATATCCTGAATCGACTGGATATGAAGAGATAAAGGTCAGGGCAAAAGGTCAGAAGAAGCAAATGTGCAAGGTGCCTTGTCAAGTCTTCTGCAGTCCTCAGCCCAGACCCTTTTGCAGTGTGAGGTGGCTGTGGCAGCTTTCTGTCCCAGGAATCCTTCCATCTGCCTTTCCTGCCTGCCTTCTTTAAAATGGTAGGCAAAAGAGGACTTGTTCTTGTTGAAGAAATAGAAATAGAAATTCCTGCAGCAGTGCCCTTGACGGTCCAACTCAGGTAGTTTGGTAAAGGGGACCTTGTCCCACTGTTGTGCCTCTGGTCCTCAGAGTCAGATAACTTTACTGTGAGAGCTGATTGCACATGAGGTGGGTTTGGATCCCTCCTTGGATAAGATGAATTCTCCCACTGCTGCTTCCTGTAGTCACCTTAACCCTATTTTAGAGTTCACCCTTCTTGCCCTGGTGATTTTCCATATCCAGGAGGTCAGACATTACCCTCTTCTTGGTCTCTCATAGTCCCCTCATCAGCCAGCTGTGTCCCACCAGCACAGAAATGACTCCAGGCCGTGGTCAGCTCTCTCCAAGCTGAGTTTCCCTCTGCATTTGCCTTCCAGGGAAGCAAGAGCCCTTCACCTGAAATCCTCCCGCGATGCTGCGGTTGCTGCTGCTGCAGGTCTGGGCGAGCTGCCTCTGGCTGGGACATGGCAAGGTGGTGCAGTCCCTTTCAAATATATGTGATCAGTTTTTCTACCAGAAAATGATTGCAACAAATGGCCTCCTGCCAAGGAACCGAGCCTGGATCTGCCAGACCTTCCAAAACCAGCGTTTCTTTGCCACCTTGTACGACAAACAGAATCGTATTCCTGTGTACTCCGCTTACATCTACAACCCTGGAACTGGAAAGAGACCTACGCCACAATGGATGGTGGAGCCCCAGGTGAGTGTTGTCTCTTACAGATGTCACCCTCCTGTCACTAAAAGATGAACTGCAGCATTTAACCAAACAGCTCTATTTCCTCCCATCCCCATATATACACATGCAAATGCACCCACTGCATGGGATTCATCTCATCTCACTTCAGAAACCTGCACCTGATGCATTTCAAACATCAGCAGCAGGAGGAGTCCTATCCCAAAGGTGCCCCGTTTTCCACAATGACCTGAGAGCAACATGAAGTGAAATTACATTCCATTCCACTCCAAAGTCAAATGACCTCCCTCTCTGTGCCCTGCTGTGGTGGGAGACCCAGTGATGGGGAAAAGGCATCCAACAGCAGCTAAATTTAGGGGAGCAAAATCTTGCAGGGCTGGGAACTCCACTCTACCCTGAGCTGTTTTGCATCCTTGACAGAGCTTAATTGCTCCCAGTTAGGAGTCAAATAGGCTTTGTAAGTGATAGGAGAGAAGTGAGGAGAAACGCAGAATTGGGTGGGATGAGCAAGGAAAAAGCCTTGGCACAGGCACTGAGTGATGAGAGGGTTTGTTGAACACTGAGGAATTTATTGAGGGATATTTTAGGCAGTGAAAAGTGAGGAGCATCAGTGTCAGTCCAGTCAGAAGGGGGTGATCTCCATCCATGGGCAGTTGCCCCTGAGCACTGTTGCCTCAGGCTTGCTTCAGAAGGATCCACCAGACACACAGATCTCCACAGACAACAGAGCTCTCCCAAATGTCATTCAGACCTCCAGCAAAATAGGCCAAGGAAATTATGGAACAGAGAGAGGAAGTTAAGGTAATTGCTAAGGACAGAGTAGCAGGATGGAATGTAGGTGTTCATGAACCACAGAAGAAAGCCATGTGCCCTGTTCCCGAGGGAGAATAAATATGTTTCCCCAAAGATGAACAGAAAGGTGATGAAGTTCTAAAAAAAAAAAACCATTTGCACTTTGTACTCATTGGAATTCAAACAACTAATAGGATATTGCACCACTGCAGCCTCCACATTTAGCGGGGATAAAGCTTCTCTCTTTTCATAGAATTATAGAATCATAGAGGGGTTTGTGTTGGAAAGAACCACAAAGATCATCTCATTCCAACCCCCCTGTGATGGCGAAGAGTCACCTCCCACTAGACCTGGTTGCTCAGAGCCCCATCCAACCTGGCCCACTTTCTCCTGGACCACGGAGCCAGGCTACCTGCAAAATCTTTCTTTTAGTAACTTTCTCCAGAGGTCCTTTTTTAGTACTTGAGTTCCTCAGAAGTCTTTGGGGATTAGGAGCTCTTGAAGAGGCTGATAATTTTTAACTTCTTTTCAGTGAGGCTGCAGAAGATGTTCCCTGGCCCAGATGGTTTCTCAACACATCTCCCTGTGTCTGGGGTTACAGGAGGCAAACACTGGTGTTCCAGGAATGTGCTACACCTGTAGCAGCCATACATGGAATCAGGGAATGAGAGAATGGGGATGGGAGGATCTGGGGAGAGCACTGGGCAGATGTGGGGTGTGGAGAGAGGTGGAAAAGGAACCAGATGTGGCAGGAGGGATGTCTTACCAAAGTCAACTTCAAACTTAGGAGTGGAAAATACTCATTGTCTCATGTATCCAGCCACACTCCTAGCACAGGCTGCAGGCTAGATCACAAAGGTCACAAGTCTAAATGAGAACAGTCAGATTCTGAGTCTTTTTTTAAAGCCTTAGTGTTCATCGAGGAGTCACAGCTATAGGATTTTGTCTTGGATTCATGCATTCTCATAGACTGAGATGACAAAAAATGGGATCTAAACACTCAGAGACTTCTTTTCCAGGGAAACCTGCTCTATTACTCCCATCCCCAATACTAACACTTTTACCTCTTCCTTACCTGTCAAGCTGATCCGTGACAATTTGCCCAGAGACATGCAAACAGAGAAGACCCTCAGAGAAACTTACTCAGTCAGCCAAAAGGATATCAGCAATAGCCAGGCTGTCAACCAAGACTACCTGCACCTTAACAATTTGGACCGTGGCCATTTGAGCCCCGCTGGCCATCAACACACCCAGGACGGCAAGACTGCGACCTTCACCCTCACCAACATAGTGCCCCAGGATGCTGCACTCAACAAGGGTGCCTGGAACCTCTATGAGCAGAATACAATGGCTGGGAATAGCAAGGACTGTCAAACCACCTACGTCATTGTGGGGGCTGTGCCTGGGAACTCCTCCATCTCCCAAAACAGGGTTAATATACCCAGCCACATCTGGGCCAGTGCCTGCTGCAAGAACACCAAAAAGAACATCATGATTGCTTGGGCTGCCATTGCCCAGAACAACAAGAACAAGATCCAGGTCCTCAAGCTCGGGGAATTGGAGAAAAGATTGACCCAGCTGTATAAGAGGGGACCGGTTTCTCTGTTCCATGCGGACTGTCCCCGTTAATAAGCCTCACATCCTGAGTATAAAAGGCTTGATTGCTTTTCCCAAATGTCACAGAATCACAGAATGATTTGGGTGGGAAGGGACCTCAAAGATCATCTAGTTCAAAACCCCCGTGCAAAATAGCAGGGAAACCTTCCACTAGACCAGCTTGCTCACAGCCATGTCCAACCTGGTCTTCAACACTTCCAGGGATGGGGCAGACACAGCTTCTCTGGGCAACCTTTGCCAGGGCCTCACCACCCTCACAGGGAAGAATTTCTCCCTGCTATGTAGTCTGACCCTGCCCTCTCTCAGTTTAAAGCCATTCCACCTTCTCCTGTCACTCCACGCCCTTGTCCCACTCTAACTCTCCCAGAGACCCTTCAGGTACTGGAATGGGATCTAAATTCTCCTCAGAGCCTTCTCCAGCTCAACACACGCAGCTCTCTCACCCTGTCTCCAGAGCAGAGGTGCTCCAGCTCTCAGAATACCTTGGTGGCCTCCTCTGGACTCCACCCCAACAGGTTTGTGTCCCTTCCATGTTGTGGGCCCAGGGCTGCAGGCAGCACTGCAGATGGGGTCTCACAAGAGCAGAGTAGAGGAAGACAAATGTCCTGTGCAGTGTCCATCCTGCTCCCTTCTCTGTGTGTTTCCAGTTCTGTCCCTCAGGACAACTCCTCCTCCTGCTCTGATAAAAGGGAGAAAGAGGTGGGCAGAGCCTGCAGCTGGTTTGCTTTGCTGCCCATCCTGGCACAGAGCTCTTAGGGATGAGTCCTTGTCCTGGCACTCTGGAGGGAACAGCTGGATAAAAGCCCATGGACAAGGAAATCAGAGCTTCTCACTGAGACCAGAAGGGCCTTGTTTGCCTTTTGCTCCTTGCCCACATACAGGTCTTAGTTCCTTCCTCTCCTCATCAGCTGTCCCTGAGAGTGTGCTGCTGACTTATCCCTCACCTCCTGAGGAAGGCTGTGGGACTAGGGTGGCTCAGGTTGCCCACCTCAGGTGTTGTGGAGTCTCCACTGCTGGAGAGGCTCAAACCCCAAGTGGACCTGATCGTGGACAACCTGCTCTAGCTGACCCTGCTTGAGCAGGGGTCTGGACTAGGAGATCTTGAGAGGTCCCTCCAAACCTCAACAGTTCAGTGATTCTGTGATCCTGGGACGAGGTTTTGTTTGCTTGCTTTTAAACCCGGCAAATTGTAGAAGCTATGAAGATAGGCAGGCTCAGGAATCAGATATAGAGGAAGCCTTGACCAGTCAGAGATAAATTTCTGCGATAAACTGCTTGGATAACTTCATTCTCTGCTCTGCTTCTGAAACCTTTTCTGCAGATTTATGGCTAAATCATTTTGTGACATGTATTCAAAGTAGTCATTCTAATCAATGCATTCAGTGTGTCAAACCAAAGGTCAGTGTGTGCCAGATCCTGTAGTTCATAGAATCATAGAATCATAGAATAGATTGGGTTGGAAAAGACCTCCAAGATCATCAAGTCCAACCCCTGATCCAATTCTAATTACTATATCATGGCACTAAGGGCCATGTCCAATCTCTTTTTAAAAACTTCCAGGGATGGTGAATCCACCACCTCTCTGGGCAGGCCGTTCCAATGCCTGATCACCCTCTCTGTAAAGAATTTCTTCCTAACATCTAACCTAAACTTCCCCTGGCAGAGCTTGAGCCCATGTCCCCTTGTCCTGTTGTTGGTTGCCTGGGAGAAGAGACCAACCCCCACCTGGCTATAACTTCCCTTCAGGTAGTTGAAGAGAGTGATGAGGTCACCTCTAAGCCTTCTCTTCTCTAGACTAAACAACCCCAGCTCCCTCAGCCTCTCCTCATAGTTCTTGTACTCAAGTCCCTTCACCAGCCTGGTTGCTCTTCTCTGGACCCACTCCAGCACCTCAATATCCTTCCTGAACTGAGGGGCCCAGAGCTGAACACAATACTCAAGGTGTGGCCTCACCAACGCAGAGTACAGGGGAAGGATCACTTCCTGCTCCTGCTGGCCACACTGTTCTTGATGCAGGCCAGGATGCCATTGGCCTTCTTGGCCACCTGGGCACACTGCTGGCTCATGTTCAGCCTCCTGTCAATCAGCACCCCCAGGTCCCTTTCCACCTGGCTGCTCTCCAGCCACTCTGTCCCCAGCCTGTAGCGCTGCAGGGGTTGTTGTGGCCAAAGTGCAGGACCCGGCACTTGGCCTTGTTGAACTTCATCCCATTGGAGTCAGCCCATCTCTCCAGTCTATCCAGGTCCCTCTGCAGAGCCCTCCTGCCTTCTGGTAGGTTGACACTCCTCCCAACTTGGTGTCATCAGCAAATTTGCTGATGATGGACTCAATCCCTCATCTAGGTCATCGATAAAGATGTTAAACAGGACTGGGCCCAGCACTGATCCCTGGGGGACACCACTGGTGACCGGCCGCCAGCTGGAGGCAGCCCCGTTCACCAGCACTCTCTGGGCCCGGCCCTCCAACCAGTTCTTAACCCAGCACAGAGTGCCCCTGTCCAAGCCATGGGCTGCCAGCTTTTCCAGGAGTATATTATGGGAGACAGTGTCAAAGGCTTTGCTGAAGTCCAGATAGACCACATCCACAGCCTTCCCCTCGTCCACCAGGTGAGTCACCTGATCGTAAAAGGAGATCAGGTTGGTCAAGCAGGATCTGCCTCTCCTAAACCCGTGCTGGCTGGGTCTGATCCCTTGTCCATCTTGTAGGTGCTGTGTGATTGCACACAGGATGATCTGCTCCATAACTCTGCCAGGCACCGAGGTCAGGCTGACAGGCCTGTAGTTACCAGGGTCAGCCTTGCAGCCTTTTTTATGGATTGGGGTGATATTTGCCAACTTCCAATCATGTGGACCTCCCCAGTAAGCCAGGACTGTTGGAAGATAATGGAGAGCGGCTTGGCAAGCTCTTCTGCCAGCTCCCTCATTACCCTAGGATGGATCCCATCTGGTCCCATAGACTTGTGAGGATCCAGGTGGCTCAGTAAGTCACTAACTATTTCCTCCTGGAATACAGGGGGCTATTTGGTTTCCTCTCTCTGTCTACCAGCTCCAGAGGCCAGTTGCCTTGAGGGCCACCTGTCTTACTGGTAAAAACTGAGGCAAAGTAGGTGTTAAGTACCTCAGCCTTCTCCTCATCTCTATTAACTATGTTTCCCTCCGAGTCCATCAAAGAATGGAGGTTTTCTTTGCCCCTCCTTTTGTTATTAATGTATTTATAGAAGGACTTTTTGTTATCCCTAACAGAAGTGACCAATTTAACTTCAAATTGCGCTTTTGTATCCCTGATTTTCTTCCTGCATGATCTAGCTGTCTTCCTGAATTCTTCGTAAGTAGCCAGCCCTCTCTTCCATAGTCGATAAACTCTCTTTTTATCCCTGATTTCCTTCAGAATCTCCCTGTTTAACCAGGCTGGTTGTCTCTCCCCGCCGGCTTGCCTTTCGGCACACCGGTATGGCCTGTTCCTGTGCACTCAAAACTTCCTGTTTGAAGCACATCCATCCCTCCTGGACTCCCTTGTTTTCAAGGGTTGTTTCCCAGGGTATGCTCTGGACTAGACTTCTGAATAGGTCAAAATCTGCCCTCCGAAAGTCCAGCGTAGAGGTTTTATTGTTGTTTCTCCTTGAATCTCTGAGTATTGAAAATTCTATTATTTCATGATCACTATTTCCTAGGCGGCCTTCAACCACTATATCTCCCACCAGCTCCTCTCTGTTTGTAAACAGCAAGTCTAGTGGGGCCTTACCCCTGGTAGGTTCATTTACCAGTTGATGAAGGAAATTGTCCTCTATACACTCCAGGAAATTCCTAGACTGCCTCTTCTCTGCAGTATTGAGCTCCCAGCAGATATCCGGCAGGTTAAAGTCACCTACAAGGACAAGGGCTGACAATTTCGAGACATCCGCCAGCTGCTTGTAGAGTAATTCATCCCCTTCATCATCCTGGTAGGGCGGTCTGTAACAGACACACATGATGATGTCAGTCTTGTTGGTCTTCCCCTGATTTTGATCCACAGGCACTCAACCTTATTGTTGCTGACCTCAAGTTCAACAGGGTCCAGAGAGTCTCTAACATATAAAGCCACCCCTCCACCTCTCCTCCCCTGCCTGTTCTTCCTGAAGAGCTTATAGCCTTCCATAGCAGCACTCCAGACATGCGAGTCATCCCACCATGTTTCTGTGATGGCGACTACATCATAGCCTTCCTGCTGCACAATTGCCTCCAGCTCCTCTTGTTTGTTGCCCATACTGCGTGCATTAGTGTACATGCACTTCAGGTGGGCTGTTGATTTAATTCTTAACTCAGGCTTTCCATCCTTAGGCTGATCACTGGAGAGCCCGGTTTCAACCCCTTCCCCCTTCAAACCTAGTTTAAAGCCCTCCTAATCAGCCTCGCTAACTTATGGGCTACAGTCCTCTTATTCTTCCTAGAAAGATGAATCCCATCTGATTTTAAGAAACTAGGTACTATGGAGTTTGCCCCATGGTCAAAGAAACCAAAATTTTGATGGTGGCACCAATTCTTTAGCCATCTGTTGAGGAGTTGGGCTTTTTACTCCTCTCTTTATTTAACTCCTCATCCATCCCAGATAGTACAGGAACTGAGGCAAATATCACCTGTGCTCCTGTCCCCTGAACTGACTGACCCAGTGCTTTAAAGTCTTTTTAATTATCTTGGCACTTCTTTGATTAATGTCCTCACTGCCAGCCTGGACTACCACCAGAGGATAATAGTCTGAGGGCTGAATTAACTCAGGAAGTCTCCTACTAATATCCCTCACCCTGGCCCCAGGAAGGCAGCATACTTCTCTCTGGGATGGGTCTGGGCGACATATAGGGCCCTCAGTTCCCCTCAAAAGGGAGTCACCGACTACAACTACCCTTCTTTTTTTTTTTTATACCTGTGGTTGTAATCCGTCTTTTGGACAGGGCCGAACTAGGAGGCTCTCTAGAGGGATCATCTTGGCTGTCCTCTACCTGACTGTCTGGGTCCAGAGTCTCGTATCTATTCTTCAAGGGCACCCTGAGGGGTGATGGGGGTCTAGAAAGAATTCTTCTACCTCTCCCATTAGGGACCTGTTTCCATTCCCCCCCATCATTTTGGTCTGCTCCATCTGTCTTATGGCAGGAGAGGCAGGGCTTTGCCGTCTCCTGTTGGACTTCCTTAGGGTTTAAAAGGGTTTGACTCCACCAGTCAATTTCCTTTTCACTCTCCCTAATGCACCTTAATCTCTA